TAGAAGATGGAGGAGGGGAGTGTGGAGGGCAGGAGGTGGAGGAAAGCAGACAGATTTATAGTTTTTAGGAGTAAAATCAACAGGGTGTTTGATTGCAAAACATGTCTGCTCCTACTACTCAGCACAGGGGCTGGCTTCAGCTGATGCAGCTGAGTGACTAATTGAATGACTTTATGGGCTCCTTCATAAAAATATTTTAAAATTATTTTAAAATTGCACTGGTATAACTCATACGAGGTACTTACAGTGATCCAGCCATAGGGAGAGAAAGTAGAGTGGTAGTTGCCGAGGTAGGGAAGGGGGGTGCGGAGTTAGTGTTCAATGGGGACAGAGTTTCAGTTTTGTAAGATGAAATGAGTTCTGGAGATGGATGGTGGGGATGGCTGCACAACAGTGTGAAGGTACTTAATGCCTCTTAAGTGGATACTTAAAATGGTTAAGATGGTCAACTCGATGTTATGTGTATCTTACCACAATTTAAAACTATTGAACAAATCTGCATTGGTGTAAAGATAAATACAACCCAGGTTGGAGTTATCATTTCAATAGTTTTAATATTTACAGTATACAATTATATGACCTGTCACATAATATAAAATATCATATGCAATATAAATAATATATAACATTCTGTATTCATGTTTCTTCTGACTTTAAAAGAAATTAAAATGAGAACTTTTCCATGGGGCCCCTCCCTGTAGGATTTGGCCCTGGGAAGTTGACAGCAGGGAGGAAATACATTTTAAACATTGGTGTGCAGTCAAATTCCCTGAGAAGCTCATTAGAAATGCACACAGCCCTTGGCCCTGCCGTTTGGGATTCAGATCCCGTAGGTCTGGACTGTGGCCCAGGAAGCTGCTTCATTGCCAAGCACTGTAGTTGTTCTCAGGAGGATGGTACCTGGCCCATTCTTTGGGAGCAGTGGCTATCCCCTTATGGGGGCATCCTCACACTTTTTAAAGTTCAGACTTAACCCCTCACTTGCTGGGTGGCTTTTTAAATCTTGTCACTGCTCGGACTATTTCTTCATCTCCCCTGTGGGGATGATGACGCCCCACCTTATGGTGTCATTGAGAGGCTCCCCGGTTGCCCACAACTTGGCCTGGGGCAGCCGCTGAAATCTCAGCTCTGAGTCAACTGAGGGAGTTGTGCAAACGCTGTTGGGGAACATTGTGTGACTGCGGTCACAAATGGGCTGTGTCAGCAAGAATGAGAATGGCAGGCTCAACCCAGAGGGCAAGGCATTGCACACAGGGAGTATTTACATCCTCATGAGAGGTTTCTGGGCAGGATGAATGGACAAAGACACAGGCAAAGAGACAATCCCCAGCCCCAGAAGGACCTGCAAGAGGCTCCATCTGCAGGGTGGTGGCGACTGTGTCCTGGGAGGATGTATGGACTGCACCAATGGGCTTCCTTTCTCTGGCTTTGACCCACAGGAAACACTGACCAGTGGAGGGAGGGGGTAGGGGCATCCACTCAGCAGCATTACAAGGCTGGCTGCTTCTGACCACCTTGTCCCTTCAGACTTACCAGTGGCAAAGGTGGATCCCTGCAATAATTTGCACTTTGGCACTGTGTTATCCATATATTTTTATACCTTTATCCATATACCTTTGCAAATACGAGGTTGGACAATTAAGTTTGTGAACTCATCCTACAAAAAGTGCTACATACCTCATTGCTGAATATCACTATGGTCACCTTTGAAGCACTCCCCTTGAGGAGCTATGCACCAACACCAGCGCCTAGTCCACCCTTCAAAGCAATTTTGGAACTCTTTCTGGAATGGCCATCAGAGCTGTTGTTGTATTACCCTTGATGTCCTGAATGTCATCACAGCGTCTTCCTTTCAATATTTCCTTTATCTTCGGGTAAAGAAGGAAGTCATTGGGAAATCACCAGATCAGGTGAGTAGAGAGGGTGTTTCAATACAGTTATTTGTTTACTGGCTAAAAACTCCCTCACAGACACTGCCATGTGAGCTGGTGCATTGTCATGATGCAAAAGCCATGAATTGTTGGTGAAAATTCAGGTCATCTAACTTTTTCACGCAGCCTTTCCAGCACTTCCAAATAGTAAACTTGGTTAACCGTTTGCCCAGTTGGTATAAATTCACAATGAATAATCCCTCTGATACCAAAAAAGGTTAGCAACATTGTTGCAACAAGTTTGTGAACTTAATTGTCATATCTTGTATAGGCAAATCTCATTATTGGTGGTCATTATGTGCTATAAAGTCCCCAAAATACTCAACCATTGTTCCTAGGGGAAATATAAGAGGTGGTTCTTTACAGTCTCTGGTCACACCATTTTTGTTAACTGATTAATACATAACCTTGTTTTATGTGTTTCTGTTTAAAGATGCCTTAGTTAATACTCGAACATATTGTTTAAAAAATATATTATATATTAATATAAGTCATTAATATTGAAATCAAGGCCAATAGCACTATATAACTCATGCCCAAAAGAAGCTTATCTAACACATGTATTTTCTCCATAAGGCACATCCCAGCCTTCCTGACTAAGGAACACTAAATAGCACTTCAGCACTATGCTTAGGGGCTGTTTCAAACAATAAAAATCACCAACAAAAAGAGTAAAAATACTAAAAAACATGACACTAAGTAGACCTTGAAAAAGATGTTTGCTTTTTTAAAAATTATAGTTGACATACAATATAATATTAGTTTTATATGTACAACATAGTGATTCAACATTTATATTCCTTATGACGTGATCACCACAATAAGTCTAGTAACCATCTGTCACTGTACAGTTATTACAATATTATTGACTCTATTCCTTATGCTGTACATTACATCTCCATGACTTATTTTATAACTGGAGGCTTGTATTTCTCAACCCCCTTTCCCTTTTCCACGCATCCTCCATCCCCCTCCCCTCTGGCAATTATCAGTTTGTTTTCTGTATCTGAGTTTGTTTCTATTTTATTCATTTTTGTTTTTTGTTTTTTTTAGATTCCAAATTTAAGTGAAAACACATGGTATTTGTTTTTCTCTGTCAAACTTCTTTCATTTAGCATAATACCCTCTAAACCTATCCATGTTTTTGCAAATGTCAAGATGTCATTCTTTTTTATGGCTGAGTAATATTCCATTTGGATGCTTGTTTAAAAAGGAGAGTTAAAACAAGAAGGCAAAGTGTCATATTGTTTGCAGCTTGTTTGACCATGTTGGGCCACTGAAGTTTTTCACTGTTCTGTGCACATCTGCAAATGACTGAGAAAGCACCATGATATTGGTTTTGGGGGTTACAAATCAATTTTACTGAGTTTGGTGAATTCACAAATACAGACTTTTCAAATAATGAGGATCGACTGTTATCTCTGTTAAACTTCCCTCAAATTGCATGTTATCTGCTTCCTGTTGGTATCCTGATTGGTACGTCACTGAAAAACATTCCTGGGGAATTCTGGGTCCCAGGGAGCTCCCGGTGACCCCCAGACTGTGAAGTCCCTCTTGAGATAAGGAAGCTGGCTGTGATGCCCAATGATTGCGTTAGAGGCGATTGGTTTGAACCCCTCAACCCTACTCCTCCTCAGCTCTGATCCTGGGCAGGCAGCTATTTTTTTTTATTTTTTTTTTGTTTGTTTTTTTAGCTGAGCCATCCTGCTACCTGTTGGCAGCTCAGCGGCTGCTCAGCTCGGGCTGGACTCGAACCGCTGTTGCTCAGAGCTCAAACTCTTGAGCGAGCTCTTAACCAACTGAGCCACTCGGCCGGCCCAAAGCAGCTCTTTTTTGTGTGTGTGTATTCCCCTGTCAAATGGATATATCTGACCTTCTTTCCACTTGGTTGTTATGGGGACCAGTGAAGATCATGGTGAGCCCATGGTCGATACTTGTATTGTGGAGCAAGGGAGATTGCAGACCCAGGTTTAGTCCCGCTTTGTCCCTTGCTTGCTCTGTGACCCTGGGCAAAGGAGTTCACCTTTTTGAACTTCATTTCCTTCTCTGTAAAATGTTGGGGGGGGGGGCTATGTTGTGTCCATGTGACTGGTTGGCTTTGCCAAAAAGATAAGAATATTTGTGAGGGCTATTCATGGTCAGTTCCACGAGGGAGGGGCCACATCTGTTTTGGTCTTCACTGTAACTCCAGCACCAAACACGGCCTCTGATAAAGAGCAGTTGCTTGGGAAATATTTGTGGTTTGAATGAACACCCCCTATTCTCTGTATGCCACACCCTGGAATCTCCCCATGGAGAGCACATGATTATCACAGGTCGGTGTGAGGAGTTCTGTGATGGGGGGTGGTGGTGTATGAGGGTGGGGACGGTGTCCAAGGGGCTACAAGAACAGAGAGGAGAAAATGAGTTGTGCCTGGATGGCTGGGTGCAGTCGGGTGGGCTTCCTGTAGGAGGCCATGCTAGAGCTGCATCAAAAGGATGATTGGCTGCACTTGATCTACTTGTGAGCTCCCTGAGAGCAGGGGTGAGGTCAGCCTTTCTCACTGCTGCACCCTGTGACTGGCTAAGAACCTGGCACTTTGTAGAGGCTCAAAAAATGAATGATGTTGTGAATTTTGAAGGAGCAGTACCCCCACCCCCTAGGTAAATGGAGAAAAGGGCAACGGGACTCAATCCCACCTTCCCACCTGAGCTGCTCGGGGTCCGGGAGAATAAGCCTCCATTAGAAAGGGCTACGGGGGAAGCTCCTGTGTGATCTTGGGCATCTGCTTAACCTTGCTGTGCCTCAGTTTCCTCAGCTGGAAAAAGGGGATGATAACTCAGTGCATTGAGGATAACGTCTAGGCAGTCACCATACGAACTCATCTATCCTTACCAGCCTTGAAGTGGGTGCTGTAATTCTTCCTATTTTATAGGTGGAGACACGGAGGCCAGAGACGGACAGTGACTTGCCCAAGGCCACACAGCTTGATATCAGGGAACTGGGATTTGAACCCCCAGAAATCTGGCACCCAAATCCATCCGGTTAACTTCCAGGATACACCGCCCATAACGTGTTGTAGAGTAAGTGACTGACATATAATAGATGCCTAATAAATGTCATTTTTGTTATTTTTAAATTATAGATCTGCTAGAGGGCGCTCGGAGGGAGGGTGGGTCAGGGGAGAGGGAGGGCCACCAGGCTGTGAGTCTCCGCTCCGAGGGCCAGCCCGTGCGTGCAGGACCAGCCGGCTGGAGCAGGGGGTACGCCTGTCACTCAGGGGTGGCTCTGGACTCGACGCGCGCGGGCGTGCTCGGGTCCAAGTCGTTGACCAGGCCCTGTGCCTGCTGGTAGCACACGCGCGGGTGCCGCTGGCGGAGGCGCAGGCGCACCGCGTCGTAGTTCACGTCATGCCCGATCTTCTTGCAGTTGAGGCTGTAGGTGAGGTTCTTGCGCGTGGCGAGCAGACTTTCCAGGTTCTTTTCCAGGAGCGAGATGCGGCGCTGCGTCTTGTCTGTGCTCTGGAGAGGGGGCGGGGCCTTGTTAAGTGACCCGCGAGCCAGAGCGAGGGCAGGGCGAGGGGGGCGGACACACCTGAGTCAGGTGTGTGTGTGAAAGGAGCACAGCTGAAGAAGCGGTGGACCTCGGGTGGGAGGGGGGACACATTGGGTCAGGCGTACGTACGTGCAGGAGGGCCCCACCCGGGCGAGAGCATAGCTGAAGCGGGGCGGCCCTTGCATGGGTTTGGGGGCGAGATGTGCTTGAAAAAGAACCACTACAGAACAGGGCTGAGGGTGGGGACGCACCCAGAGAGTGAGGGGCGGGGCGGACATGGGACGAGGGGGAGCATCTGGGCAAAGTGTGCAGGAAGGAGCCTCCTTAGGATGCGGTTGAGAGAGGAGTCATATCATGAGGGAGTGGTAGGGTGAGGCGGACAGAGAGAGGTTGAGGGGACTTATCTGAGACAGATGTGGGTATTGGAGGGCCTCATACTGGATTGCAGTTGAAGGAATGACCAACCTGGGTGTGGGGGGAAGGGGTTCTTACGTGGACCAGGTGTGCCTGAGGAAGTAGTCTTACCAGGGTGAGGCCGCGCCTAGAGAGGGCGGGGAGACGCGGAAGGGGGACGCAGAGGGGCGTACCTGGGCTAGGCGCTGGGCCTCGGGGAGTTGGGTGCCCACGTGTCTCTGGTACACGCGAACCAGGGGTCTGTCCAGCTTCTCTCGAGTCTCCAGGTGATTTTTTGACAGGGGACCCTGGCGGAATGCAGTGTGTGGAGCAGTGAGGCCCAACCGACGCGGGCACCCCTGGCCCCATCTCCGCGGACCCTTTTCCCAAATCATACCTTGATGAGGTCGCGAGTGATGTACATCTCTTGGTTGAATTTCGCGCACCGGTGGATAGTTCCTCTCATTAGTCCTAAGGCCATGTTCATTCTTTCCTGGGTGAATGGTGGGAGCGCAGGGGGATCACACTGGCTTCCTGTCCCCTCTCCTCCTGTCCTGTGCGCCCCTTCTCCGGCCTCGGTACTCCTCCACCCTAGTCCCCAGCCAAAACTCCCGAGCCGCGCCCGCCGCCTGCACCTTCAGCTGCGAGGTCTCGCGCATCTTTTGGGCCAGCGAGGCGCACACGCGATCGCTTGTCTGCTGCTGTCGCTCTCGGATGTCCTGCACGTTCTTTGCCATTTCTTGCAAGGTGTCCTTGGACTCCATCAACAGTCGCTTGGCTCCATACAGCGCAGTGACGCACTCTGCGGGAGGGCGGGACGCGCGCAAATCACCAAGTTCTCCTTTCCCCCACCCTGGCTTTCTGCGTCCCCCTCTCTATTCTCATGTGGTGGTGGGCCGTGGGCGAGGGGGCTTTACTGAGGGATTAGGAGAAAGTCCAGGGGAAAGACTGTTAGTGGGGCGAGTATGAGTAGCGTCCCGGAGTGTCTGGGCGGGAGTGACTGAGGGCGTGTGGGAAGCAGGCGTATGCAGGGGAAAGAGCTAATCCAGAAAGTGGGTTTAGCTCTAGGCTGGCACTCAGCCCTCTCTTTTGGTCTAGGGGAGCAATTCCCCAGGGAAAGGGGCAGCTGAGACGTGGAAGGGTCCACTGTAGTGGACCCCTTTCTGTGGGGGCCTACCTGGAGTGTATGTGCCCACAGGGTCTGGAGGCGGCGTTTTCTGGCCCTGAATTTGCGGGGTGGAGACCCTGGAGAGGTTCACCCAGGAGCGGCGGCCGGCCTGCCCCAGAACCTTGGCCAGTGGCTGGTTCATTAAATCCACAGCTTGGAGCCTCTCTTTGCAGCAGAAGGCCAGCGTGTCCCTGCAAGAGGCCAGGGTCTGGGGGCAAGGAAGGAGAGACAGGCAGAGGTGAAGTCCGGAAGTGCGCTGGGAGGTTGTGGGGAGGTGGCTGGAATTGCTTTCTCTGCTGGGGGCTGCCAATCGTTTCTGCCCCCAAGCTGACCCTCTCCAGTTCTTGCTGTGGCCTGAAAGGAGCAATTTCCAAGTGGAAGCTCAGACACCCCACCCTCTGTCCAGAAGCCTTTAATGACCCGGAGAAGGGAGCAGTGGGGGCTGGTGGTGGCTTCCCTGTCTGGGATGTCAGTTGCTTAGGTTCTGTGTCTGGCTTTCCCTGGCCCCTCAAGAAAGCCCCTCCCCCATCGATTTCCCCGTATGTAAAGTGGAGCGGTAGTACTGGCTATACCTACATCTCCGTCTTCCTGTGCCATCCCTTTCCTCCTCAGCTTGCATTCAGGTCCTATCCCACCCCACCCCTAGCATTAAGGTCTCCCTTCCTCTTCCCTAATCAGTATTAGGAACTCTCTTCAGAGGTCTTCAGAGTCCCTCCCCCCCAATCTATTGCATTGTGATATATATTGCATATATACATATATATTCACACACACACACACACACACACACACACGGTGCCAAAAAATGTATACACATTTTAAGAAAGGAAAACTATATTAATCAATATATACTGATAACAAAAGATGAATACAAGTCACGTTTGACTTCTGCAATTACAAGAGGTGCTCAAAGTGGTTACATCAGCGTCCAGACACTTCTGATTACAGCAAATTACTGCTTGAGCAACGCTGACCAGTGTCCACTTGTATATACTTTTTTGGCACCCCCAGTGTGTGTGTGTGTGTGTGTGTGTGTGTGTGTGTATTTTTTCTTTTCAGCCTCAAAAAAATAAATAAATAAAAAAGAAGAAAATCCTGCCATTTGTGACAACATGGATGAACCTGAAGGACATTGTACTAAGTGAAATAAGCCAGATACAGAAAGGCAGATACTGCATGACTCACTTATACATGGAATTTGAAATAGTCAAACTCACAGAAGCAAAGAGTAGAATGATGGTTGCCAAGGGCTGGGAGGAGGGAGAAATGGGGAGATGTTGGTCAAGGGCTGCAAAGTTTCAGTTATGCAAGATGAGTAAGTTCTGGAGATCTAATGACAACAATGTGACTATAGTTAACCTGCTCTATTTTATAATTGCTAAGGGGGTAGATCTTAAGTGTTCTCACCACACACACAAAGGTACCTGTGTGAGGTGATGGATGTGTTAATTACGTCAATTGTTGATTGTGGTGATTATTTCACAATGTATACATATACTATCAAATTGTACGTTTTAAACACACACACACACACACACAATTTTAAATTGTTAATTATGCCTCACTAATGCTGGAGAAAATTTTAAGACACCTGCCCTGAAACTACAGCCCTGCTGCTGGCTAGTGCTCGCCTTGTGTAAGGCCATCTTTCTTTGAGCCTCAAATTCCCCATCTCCAGTAGGGGACCACAATTTCTATTTCACAGGAGTGTTTTAAGGAGCTAACTCGATGACTGCACAGGGCTTGGCACAGAGGGGGTGTTCATTGTTATTCTGAGGCCCAGCTCCACACCTTAGACACCCAGTTTTTCCATTTCACAAAGCGGAAATATGGTGAATGTCATCAGGGCGGGTGGGTGAGTGGGTTGAGACATTTGCTGTTGCTAGAGTCCCCAAGGTCAGAGTGGTTCACCCCTTAGGCAGCCCGGGGTCCCCCTCCGGCCCCCATCACTCAGTCCTGGGTATTCCCGACCTTGAGCATGGCCTCTGACTTTTCCATGTCTGTCTCCATCTTCCTCTTCATGTTCTTTAACTCCTCTTTCTCCCAGGTAAGCATACTGTCAGCTTTGTCAGGGACCTGGAAAACAAAGAGATATTCACACCTTCAGGAGAGGGCCGGCAGGAGAGTTCTCCTTCCAGGGAGGCAGAGGGTTTACCAACCTCATTAACCCTGGGTTTGGAGAATAGAGTTGGGGGCACTCCCACCCTGTCGAGGTCTCACTCTCTGAGAAGACTTTATCCTTTCAGGGGGCTCACTTACTAGCCAGAAAGTGGGGCTGTGGCCTCTCCCTTTTACAGGTAGGAGTCCAGTGAGCTGGGATGGAAGTGACTTCACCTTAGGGGAAGGTTTCTATAGGGCTGGAGGTCCCCCTTCCTTGGTGCTGGTCTTATCCCCACCTCCCTGGCTAGAAGTGCAGGGATCACAACATAGCAATGATGAGGGTTTGCCTTTTGGGGGGTCTTTGATTTCGGGGCTAGGACTAGGAATTTCACCCTGTGAATGGGGTCTCACCCCTCCCCAGGAATGGGTTCCCCCCTTTTGGAGTGGGGGTTTAGGGTTTCACTTTGGGGGGAAGATTTCACCAGGACTGTGACTAGGGGTGTCATTCTTTCTTCCTGGCTGGGGGCTTAACTCTTGGGCAGAGGGGCAGGGAGTCTGAAGGTCTCAACCTGTAGGCAGGACCTGTTCCTTTCTCTCCCCATGAGGCCTGGGGAGGGGTTCTCCCTGAGGCTAGAGGAGGCTTTTTTTTTTTTTTTTTACATTTTGAGGAGGGTTTCATGGGTTGGAACCAGGACATCACCCACTCTTCTTAGCTGGGCATTTCTCACTGGGTTTGATTATTGAGGGTCTCATGCCCACAGGAGGGTCTCATCCTGTGGCCTGGGGGCTGGATGGGTGATTGCATGCCTGTGCTAGGGGTTGTGAGTGTCTCTCTTTGGGAAGAATGTCATCTAGTTTGACTCCGGGGTCCCATCCTCTCTTCCCGGCTGGGGGGACTGGAAAGATACGCACTCTGGCGCAAGCGGACTGAGGATCTCATCCCCATGGTGAGGGGGTTTCCCTCTCTGGGGCTGGGCACCAAGGCACCTCATCTTGGGAGTGTCCTCCTCTTTTTCTGCCCTTACTGGAACTGGGGCCTGGTAGGAGTGTTCTCTCTACCGGGTGGGTTTTGCCCAGGCTGAGTGAAGGCTCCAGTCTTGGCGACCAGGCTTGGGGGAGCGGTCCCACCTTCTCAGATTTGGGCCTGTAGCCCCGAAGCTTGACGCTCTGCTGGTTGATCAGTAGGCCCTTTCGCACCTCGCTGAGCCTGTAATCCGTAGCCTCTCGCTGGCGCTGCATCAGCCGCACCTGCCCATTGACCTGCTGCTGCGCGTGGGCCAGGCGGGCGGCGGTGAGGCGCGCCCCACGCGCGTGTGCGTGCACCAACTCGGCTGTCTGCAGGGCGAGCGCGTCGCGGTTCAGGGGCAGCGGCAGGCGTGCGTGCCAGACCGGCGGCTTCATCTTGCTCCTCCACAGAGTGACGCCCTCGCCCGGCGGCGGCTTCTCCAAGGTGCCCCCGCCGTTGAGCATCTTCACGTGGAAGCGCCAGGGCTGGATATAGGCGGCCCGGTGGAGGTGGTGCGCCACGTGCGGATCCAGCACCCTGTCTTTGGGTTGCCACATGGCCACTGCCTCCTGTCCGCAGCGCTTAGTCAGCTGGCGCGCCGCCTGCATCTTGGCCCGGGCCGCCTCGTGCCATGCTGCAGCCCCGACGCGCATGTCCTTGCTGTGCTCAACCCGGGGTAGCAACACGGGCATGGTCCCTGCTTGGTGCCCCAGCCCGGGCGGGGTCCTCCACGAGAAGAAGCAGGGTTCCCCCAACCACACGCACCTCCTTCCTGGTCTGAAGAATGAGTGAAACAATGGGCCCATCACCATGACAACGGTGGCCAGAGCCCCAGAGTTCTAGGGGTGGGGGAGGGGAAAGGCGACTGGTAGGTATTAGATGGAGTCTTTGGAGCGCTGCAGAGGTGGTTTGGAATCACCGCTCCTTCAGAAAGCTGACGTCATCTAGCCCACCTCTCGCTGTTGCTTCTTACCCGCCAGCAACACCGACCTTCTTCCAGCGCGCTAAGCAGCTAAGCAGTTTTCCCACTTCAAAATTTTCGACTTGCTGTTTCCTCTTTGTGGCATACTCCTTTCCACGTCGTTCCCATGGCTGGCTCCTTTTCAATCTTCAGACCCCAGCTTAAATATCACCATCTTTAAAAGGATCTTTCCTTAGCATTATATCTAAGCCCCGACTCTCTCCTACCTCTCAGGATTTTTAGTGCAAGAAACAGAAAAGATGACCTGACGGAACCACGGCCAAAACCTGCAGAAGCGTGGTAGGTCCTTGAGGACAACGTGGCTACTCCTGCAGAACTCTCAGCTGCATCTGTGTTCCGTGGAAATGTCATTGCTACTGCAGCCATGGAGTTAAGCTCTCCATGGTACCTGCTTCTTTGTCTACTTAGCCCCCAGGGTCTAAGGTGGCTGCAGCTAGCTGGCTGAGTCTGTGTCACCTGGCCATGCTCCAGCTGCAAGGGAAGCTGGGAAAGTGACTCATGTCTGAATTTCCCACTTCCACAGCGGAAGAAAGACTTTGTTTCCCACTGAGACTCATATGATGGAGAATTCCTCCAACATGGAAAGCAGGTCAGAATCTGGGGAAGAAAAGAAGATACTGCCCTCCATCCCTCTCCCATAACTCTTTATCATATCACCTTATTTCCTTCTAGCAGTGGCATCTTTACGTGGGCATTTAGTAGGGGCCTCAAACCATGGTCAAGATTCTGGAGCTGGACAACTTGGGTCTGAATTATGATTCTGATACTTGCCATCTGTGTGATCTTGGGAAAGTCACTTGATTTCTCTGTGTATCCCTTTCCTCACCCCTCAGCTAGGATAATAGGATTGTGGCATGGATTAAATGAGTTAATATGAGTAATGAGCTTCCACAGTAGCTGACATAGAGTAAGCACTATACAGGTGCTTACTATTCATTTTTATTAATTGAATGAATAGATGAATAAGCTTTTCTAATACTAGAAGATGCAGAGAGGGTTTCACAAAGAACCAGGGAGACAGCTTACTTGGGACAACAGTCTGCACTCAACTGTCCACCTCTGCTTTGTTCATTTAGTGCTTCCATTTTCCCAGAGGACTTACTGGCTTGGTTTCCTGCCTAGTGTCTGGAGTATCTCTATTGGGTAGTATTTGTGCCAAACTACTTTGTGTTCTTGTGCCAGATCTACACGTGGGGGACTCTCATTCCAACATCGGTCTTTGGTGAAATTCATTAGGGCTATGGATGGAGGTGTGGTCTGTCCCATTCTGGCTTTTAATTGATTCAACTTATTCATGCCAACACACTCTTAGTGTATACCACCATTGTCCAAGTATCAAAATCGATACATACTACTGCCCATTGCTCAGTCTGCCAACATCTCCTCATTTTTATCTTTCATCCCCAGTTTGACTGTATCGACCTTTAAAAGTCACTTCCAGTTCCTGGCTTTGATGGCCCGTTTTGGACATTTTCCTTTAGCCTGACACATATGCCTGGGTTTGAGGAATAGTGAACCATTTTCTCTGCTTTCAAAGCCTGCTGCTGGTCACAGCCTGGTTTGGCAGGTTCTCCAGTGTGAATGTTTCTGTCCTCCCCAAATTCATATTAAACCCTAATGCCCAATGTGATGGTGCTTGGAGGTGGGGCCTTTGGAAGGTGAATTTCATATCACCTTTTCAATCCCCTCCTCTCATGAGAGTGGAGACCTCATGAATGGATTTAGCACCCTTATAAAAGATACCCCAGAGGCTCTCTTGCCCCTTGCACCACGTGAAGACAGTGAAAAGACGGTTATCTATGAACCAGGAAGTGGGCTGTCACCAGTGACTAAGTCTGCTGGTACCTTGAAGTTGGACTTCCTAGCCTCCAGATCTGTGAAAATTCAATTTCTGTTGTTGATAAGCCATCTGTCTGTGGTATTGTACTATGGCAGTCCGAACAGACTAAAACAGCAAGGTGCCTGGAAGAAACCATAGTAGGGCTGGAATTAACTCTCAGCCTCCAAAAGATTTAATTAACTACATGTGGCTGAACAGAAATGATGCTCCAAAAATGCTACAGAAACATTTATATACGTAAGCCAAGTCTGGGAACATTTTCCACTACTCCTCAAACTCAAATACCTCTTTTAAGCTAATAAGTAAGCCTGTTTTTATGCTATGAAAGTAATGTATGCACATTGTATAAAACAGAGAAAAATATAATGAAGAGAGAATCATCTATAATGTTGTCACCCAGAGATATCTATTCTGAACATGTTTTGATTTCACAGTAGCCATTTCCCTATACTCTCCTCATATATACTTCTATAGTTATCCACATCTCCCTCCTCCCAGTAAACTGAAGCTCAAATATTTCAACTCAGGCCAATGGGGAATAATATCTGTTAAATTAGCTCTCTGATTTTTATAACGAAGTTTGCTTTACACAAATTCCTCTTTGTAGCCAGCCATCTTTGCTGGGACCACCTGTTCTGTATAATGAGTATTACAAAATGGGGAGGGGGGCAGAACTGTGCCCTTGGATTAAATAGAGTGAAATTGCAGGATGTATGAGGAAGAAAAACCTTCAAAAACTTCTACATCTTCTTTCCTTTTTTTCCGTTGGTATTGCATGTTGATGCCCTTCACTCTGAAATCTTGGCAGGTAATTATCAGAGACCCCTTTTCAGGTTCCCTGATGTCTTCCCTTCTGGGGCACCAGGTTCTACTTTTAGTAGGTGCCCCCCTTTCTCTTGGAGATAATCACATCAATTGGTCTCTTGTTCCAGGGGGATATGACCTAGAATCAGTTTTGTCTTTGAGAAATGAGGTCACTTTCCTGTGGGAGGTGTCAGGAGAAAATGGGAAGCCCCGGCTGGGAGAGGAGGTTCTTCCTGGCTTTTCCTGGTCACCTCTTGCAAAGATGGTGACCTTAATGGCTGGTGAGGGATAAGGACTGGTCCGTATGGCTCTCATCCCCATCAGTCCCCCAAAATGGTTCAGGCAAAGGTTATTTATGTCTTCCTGCAATTGACAAATTCTGTAGTTTCTTTTCCATCTCATTCAACTTGACCTCTAGGTAGAATTTGAAATTGTTGACCACCTGAAACTTGAGTCACCTTCCCTGTGCTCTTTCACACTTTTTCCTTTTGCCTCTAGACTTGATCCTTCACTGGATGGTTGTCTGCCATCCAGTCCCTCAAATATAGTGTTCTTCAGGTGAGTTAGGCAGCCTTGAAGAAGGCCTCGAGTGGTCGCCATCTTCTGGTCTTGATGCCCTGTTTAATCCCCTCCCCTCGCATGTGGGCTGGATCCACTTCTAATCAATAGAATACGGCAAAAATTAAACGATGCCCCTTCTGAGATTAGGTTATAATAGATCATGCTTTCTATCTTCCTCGCTCTTTCAGAAATGAAGAGGCCTATGTGGCAAGGAATTGATGGAGCCTCTGGTCATCAGCCAGCAAGGATCTGCGGTCCCTAGTCCAATATACCATGAGGAAAAAAAAATCCCATGAGGAACTGGATCCTGTCAACCACCACATTAGTGAGCTTGGAAGCACATCCTTCTCCAGCCCAGCTTTCAGATGAGATAGCAGCCCCGGCTGACTTCTTGTCTGCAGCCTGGTGAGAGACCCTGAACCAGAGGACCCAGCTAAGCCATGACCAGATTTCTGACCTACAGGAACCTATATAATACATATGTGTTGTTTTAAGCTGGTAAGTTTTGTGATAGCTTGTTATGAAGCAGTAACTAACTAATGCATTAGGTTTCTGTTTTCCATTCACTTCTCCTTCCTTACCATCTCCCTGAAAAAGCTCATCCACATTAGTGGATTTGGGTATTACTTGTTTGACTAGGAAACCCTGCACCCATTAGCAGTCACTCTCCATCCCATCTTCCCTCCAGCACCTGGCAACCACTAATCTGCTTCCTGTCTCTATGGATTTACCTATTCTGAGTATCTCATATCAGTATAAATGCAGGCTGAATTTTGGAGGCAAGTCAATTTATCCCCTCATCTCTGACTCTCCTCTCCTTTTCTCCCCTGAAATTCTGCCTGTGGTTTTAAACACTTCACTTGCATATCAGGCCACTCTGGTAATAAGGAGGAGAGTGTTTTGGAGAAGGGGGGCCTAGCCTTTCTCTCACCCCTCCTCTGCTCCCTCTGAGGCCCTGGGAATGATGGGGAACCTGCCATCTGATAATGAGACCCTCGCTCCCTTAATGACTCTGGGGGCTGCGGGGATGCCGCAGGCCAGCTCTGCCCTAATTAATTAATAGGGAGGGCTCGCCACAGAGGAATTAGCCTCAATTCCTCCACTTCAGGCTCCTCTTGGCTCAGCCCCTGCTCAAGCCCCACCCTCAACCAGGACAGTCATCTGGGACAGCCTGGGGATGCTTCATCCGGGCTGGCCTACCCTCTAATGCTAAGGCCAGAGCTCGAGCCACGGTCAGAGTGGTCCTGGGGTGGGCTCGAACTCTAGCTCAATAATATGGGCTACAACTTAACCTCTTTTAGGCCCTTTTACATCTGTACAAGGGAGCCAGTAGCTTTTCTTTTGTTTAGAGAATGAGAGAGAGACTCACAGGGTCAGGGTGAGGGTGAGAGTGGGGCATTCACTTAGGGTGCAATATGTAAGGGTGTGCCAAAAAACTCTGTAATTAAAATAAATAATATTGGACTATTATTATTGAAATGTTATTGAGAGGTGATGCATGTGTTTACGGCCTTGATGGTGGTGATGGTTTTACAGATGTATACTTATTCCAAAACTCATTGAGTTGTATACATTAAATATGTTCTGCTTTTTACATGCCAGTTATGAGGTGTGATCATAAAATACGGTGAATGTTTATTTATTTAATTAATTTATTTTTGAAAATATTTTATTGGGGAATTGGGGGAGGGGAACAGCACTGGGGAATCGGGGATGGGGAACTGACAACTTGCTGTCCTTTTGTTCTTCAGTCTAGTTGTGGAGGATGTCGCTTCACTGGCCCATGTTGGCATTATCATTGTGCTCTTCCCGGGTGGGGCAGATCGGTTGCCGGACACAGGACGGCCGCTCACGGCGGCTCTTGGCAGCTCACACTGGATGCCAGCCACTCATGGTAGCTTTACCACAGCCCACTGCAGCCTCACTGCAGCCTATGCCAACGCTGGCGACTCACGGCAGCCCAGCTCCAGGTTGAGCTGTTGTTCACCATCTTAGCTGTAGAGGGCACAGCATCACTGGTCCTAATGTGGGATTCAAAGTGGGGCCATGCTGCTCAGAGCTGGCGTCCCAAGCCAGCTCTTCACCAACGCACCACTTGGCCGGCCCACGGTGAATGTTTAAATAAAAAAAATGTATTACAGGACGGCCGAGTTGCTCAGTTGGTTAAGAGCTCGCTCAAGAGTGCGAGCTCTGAGCAGCAGCGGTTCGGTTCCCGGCCCAAGCTGAGTTGCCGCTGAGCTGCCAACAGGTGGCAGGATGGCTCAACTAAAAAAAAATTTATTACAGTAAATGACACATTACCATTAACCCCCCTCAAAACACTCCCCCTCGCTTTGAACACACTTTCTGAAGCAGTTCTGGAAGTTCTCTTGTGAGTGTCTTTAGTTGTACTGTCATGGCTGCCTCAATGTCCTGAATTGATTCAAAACATTTACCTTTCATGGTCATTTTGACTTTGGGGAAGAGCCAGAAGTCACATGGTGCCAGACCCAGTGAATAAAGTGGATGAAGACACACCGTAATGTTTTTCTTTGACAGATATTGCCATACCAGAAGCGATGTGTGACACGGAGCCTTTCCATTGTGACAAAAAAAATATGGTTAATGCTGCTGCCAAGTGCCATCCAATGGAAAGGGCAGGGATCTTCTACGGGAAGTGGCGTGTCAAACCTTAGTAACATTGTTCAGTACAGTCAGTTGGGTGTGAGCTACGGTTGAGAGAAGGTGTGTTTTAAAGTGTGCCTTAAATCATCCTCCATCATGACAACACTCTGTGTCACACATCGCTTCTGGTATACGGCAATTTCTGTCAAATAAAAACATTACAGTGTGTCCTCATCCACCTTATTCACTGGATTTGGCACCGTGCAACTTCTGGCTCTTCCCCAAAGTCAAAATGATTCAGGATATCGAGGCAGCCACAGCAGCGCAACTAAAGACATTCACAAAAGAAGACTTCCAGAATTGCTTCAGAAAGAGGCAGAACGATGGATAAGTGTGTTCGAAGCAAGGGGGAGTATTTTGAGGGGGATTAATGGCAATATGTCTCTTACTGTAATAATTTTTTTTAATTAAACATTCACCATATTTTATATGCCTTGTATACCTCAATAAAATGGTTTAAAAGAAATGAATTGGATAATGAGATAGACAGCAACTCTGCTTATCTGTAATTTCAAAACAGTGAAATAGATAAAATTATTATTTTCTTTTTTATAATTTATTTTTTAATTACAGATCAGATTCTTTTTTCTTTATGAGTCATTCTTTGGAGATATACAAGTAGTTACATTATCTTTTTCCCATTCAGAGGTAATAAAGATATTCTCCCGTAAAATTAAATAATATTCCAATGTTAGTAATTAAAAAAACTCCACAAATCTAATGCAAAAATACATGGTGAGCTAAATATCAAAATGTTAAAGACAGAATCAGTGAGCACTGAGCCAAATCATGTGGCAGCCTAAACAAAAGGAAAATTAGAGATTCTGATCCTGTCTTTTTTTGAAATGCTGATATTTTGTTATTTGTGTATTTTTTGCATTCATTTTGGCTATTGAATAATGGAATGTATTAATACTTGGAAGATCTGTGTAATTCAGTGAACTACTATTTCTCAAATGATTAATGCATCATATTTCAAAATCATGCATTGGTAAAGATGCACTCAATGGGTTTTAATGTTAATAGAGTACAATAGTTCACTGACAGTTTCAGATCCCACATTGCAACTATCTTTTAGGAAACTAAAATGTGTTGAATTTTGGTGTAGTCTCAAAGAATAGCCACAATTACCTGAAAAGCAGGTTAAAATACTCTACCCTTTTTAAATTACCTGTTCATGTGAGGTTGTATTTTCTTTATATGCTTCAACCAAAACAACACATCATGACAGATTCATTCAATTCTCATTATTTATGGTAGTTTTGTTCTATAAAGTTGTGCAAACACCAAATTAGTGAATAAACCATTGTTCCTAGGGAGATATACTGGGTTAAGTTCCTGTGAGCCTCTGGTCACAACATTTTTGTCAATGAGTCATCAATTAATCAATGCCTAATTCTGTTTTATATGTGATTCTGTTTAAAGACACCAATTTAAGATATGTGTGTGTGTGTGTGTGTGTGTAAGCATATATATGCAGAGGTTGCCAAAAATGTATACACATTTTAAGGAAAAAAATATTAAAATTATGCTGATGGTAACCACTTTGAGCACCTCATGTAACTGCAGAAGTCAAACGTGACTTGTATTCATCTTTTTTTATTGGTATATAGTGAGTATTACAATTTTAATACAGTTTTTTTCCTTTCTTAAAATGTGTATACGTTTTTGTGGCACCCTGTGTGTGTGTGTGTGTGTGTGTGTGTGTGTATTTGATTCGTCAACATTGAATACATAGCCCAATGGCACTATAACTCATGCCTGAACGAAGCTTATGTAACACATATATTCTCCATGTGGCACATCATGGCCTTCTTGTGCTAGTAAACACTAGACAGCACTTCAGTACTATGCCTGGGGGCCATTTTAAACAGTAAAATCAACAAAAAGCACGAAAATGTGAAAAATGTGGCACCAGATAGACCGTGAAAAGGATGTCTGTTACAGTATGAAAGCTGAAACAAGAAGACAGAGCATAGTCTTGTTCAGCCTCAACTGGGAACCAGTCCATTGGTCAGTTCAAATTTTGCATCACTCTGAGCATGTCCGCTAATGGCCACAGAAGTGCCATGAGCATTGATTCTGGGCTACAAATACGTTTAAGCGAGTGGGTGAATTTGCAAATATGGAGTCTGCACATAACAAGAACCTGAGAATCCTACTTTTTTTCCATTAAGCTAGACATCAAAGCAATTTGCAAATGTGTGAAGCATTGCCTCTCTTCTCATTAAGTTTTGGAAAATGTTATTTCTCATAAAAATATGCTCTTTATGTTATCATGAAATGAGTTTATTACAACTGAAAGTTTGTACCTCTTGTTCCCCTTCACCTGTTTCACCCATTCCCTCTCTATGGTCTTTTAAATCAACAGACACAATTTCTTAGAACACTTTTAGATTTACAGGAAAATTGAGAGGATAGTACAGGGAGTGCCCCCAGCCCCAACAATTTCCCCTATTATTAATATCATTCATTAGTATGATACATTTGTTACAATTAATGAGCCAATATTGATACATTATTAAAGTCCACACTGTACTGAGATTTACTCAGTTTTCTCTTAACATCCTTTTTCTGTTCCAGGAGCCCCTGCAGGACTCCATATTATGTTAGTCATTGTTTCTCCTTAATCTCCTGAGATAGTTTCTCAGACTTGCTTTGTTTTTGATGACATGACAGGTTTGAGGAGCGCTGGTTAGGATGCTCCCTACTGGAATTTGATTTTTTAAAAATCATGGGATTGTGAGTATTGGGGGGGGGGTCCTCTACAATTTTTAAGAGTGTAAAGGGGTTCTGAGACCCAATAGTTTGAAAACTGCTGCTGTTTTATTTAA